GGAGAAAAAAGGCGTGATGCCTACATCACTAACCAATAATCATCTAAAACATATATTTGACAATTTTAATGAAATCACAATATGTATAATTTTAATAAAGTTACAATGATCATCATGCCATTTATATTCATCTATTCAAAAAAAGCAAAGTCAAAAGGATAAATAAGCATACATTTATATATACAACTAGGTAGTTGTAGATAACAAAATTAAACCATATATTTAAAATCTAAACTTAAGCGACATATTAGGGGGATAATGAATTTATTAGAACACAACATACTATAATATTAATTCCGAGAGTGCAACTCTGCACAAGTTCAAAAAGCTAGGTGCATCCAGCATTACAAGACTCCATATTTAACTTACCTATTGTATTTGCAAGTTGAAGTGTAGGAACAAGCCTACCAACAAAATGTATGAAGCTAACAAAAACCATCCAAATGAAGAATTGCAAACTAGCTCATCATTTTTTGGAGGTGTTGGTTGACTTGCTTTTGAGGAGTGATGATTCTTAGAAGTGGTATTAGGAGGACTTCTAGTATCTGGTATCTATCATTAAAAATGAAATGTTTCATGAATACGCTAAAAATAATAAAATATACTCAAATTAAAAGAGAAATACAAAGGAAGCTACAAACAGCCATAACAAGAGGTATGATTTTAATGAAAATACCACTTGGCAGCAGCCATAACAAGAGGTGTTAATGATTACTTTTTCTTTCTTTATTCTATCATTTGTAATTGTCATATGAATTTCACTGGTTCCTAAGCTTGTTTCTTTTATGTTGATCCATATAGGCTGTTCTTAAGATGCTAAGTGAGATTGCAACAGTAGAGAACATTCCTGAGTTTATTGAGGGTGTAAAGAACAGGTGATTGAATGTAAACCATTTCATGCTTTGTCTGTTTCACAGGAGCTATCTTTCATATGCTGCATAAACCTCTAATTTATGTTCTTCTACTGCTTTATTTCTTTAGGAAGTGAGAGATGTCAGGTTTCAGACACCGTGTGTACAAAAACTATGATCCGAGAGCAAAAGTGATAAAGAAATTGGCGGAGGAAGTATTTTCCATTTTTGGTCGGGATCCCCTTATTAAGGTATTTATCAACTCCAAATTTTTTTTCCGATATGATTGTATTTCCACTGCTGTCTGCTGCGAGTCCTTTCAAGATGATTTTTTCTGTTATCAGCTTTATGATGCTTACCATTAATGCATGAAATAGAGAGTTGAATTTTGTCTTGAATCATGGTCTTTGGCCACTGGAAAGTATTGACAATTCAAAATATTGTTTCAAAGCATTTTCCA